GACCTCTCCTGGCTGGACCTCTCCTGTGGACCTCACCTGTGGACCTCACCTGTGGACCTCTCCTGGCTGGACCTCTCCTGTGGACCTCACCTGTGGACCTCTCCTGGCTGGACCTCTCCTGTGGACCTCACCTGTGGACCTCTCCTGGCTGGACCTCACCTGTGGACCTCTCCTGGCTAGGCCTCACCTGGCTGGGCCTCACCTGGCTGGACCTCTCCTGTCTGGGCCTCACCTGGCTGGACCTCTCCTGGCTGGACCTCTCCTGTCTGGGCCTCACCTGTGGACCTCTCCTGGCTGGGCCTCTCCTGGCTGGGCCTCACCTGGCTGGACCTCTCCTGTCTGGGCCTCACCTGGCTGGACCTCTCCTGGCTGGACCTCACCTGTGGACCTCTCCTGGCTGGGCCTCTCTTGGCTGAGCCTCACCTGGCTGGACCGCAGGCGCTTGCTCTCCAGCCCTGTCTTCTCTTGCATTAGGGCCTCCTTCTTGGCCAGGATGGCTTCCCGCTTGCGGAGCTCCTCCCCTAGCTCCTCCAGCGCCCGCCGCTGCTGCAGCACCTTCTCCATCTCCTGGTCCAGCCACTTCTTCTGCTCCTCGATCTTCTAAGGAAAAGCAGGGAAGGAGGGAGGAAGGGAGCTCAGGGCCCACCTCTGGCTGTATCAGCCACCACTCGAGGTTCACTGGGGAGAAAGGTACACCCACGAGCCAGCCCCCAGGGGAACCCAGGTACGGATGCAGCCCGACCCCACCTGCTGCTGCTCCAGGCTGACCACAGAGCCGTTGCTGCCACTGCGCCTCTTCCTCTGGAAGGCTGCAATCTCCTCCGTCTTAATCTTCAGGATCTTCTGCTGCTGCTCATGCTTCAGCTCCAGCTCCTGGGTGAAGAGCTCAGTGGGCAGGGCTGTTTATGGTCCCAGCATCTTACCAGAGCCTGCCACCCATCCCAAAGCCCACAGGAGTGCCTGCCCTCTCCCGAGAAGGCCCTGGACGCGTCCCCCAGACCCATCCCACACAACTCTCCCTGGGGACCCTCAAACAGACGCAAACACTTAGAAATAAGCCCCGCGAGATGACAGTCACCTCGTATACTTCACTCAGGTCTCACCCTGGCGTTGCTTTTCCTGTAACACTCCAGATTTTCAGATGATACAACAAATTGAGGCCAAGTGACCTGCTTTCTAACGTCACATGGCTGTGAGTGGCAAACCCTGCCTGGGCTCCCATGGCTGGGCTCCTGGCCTGAACAGAGGGTGCCTGTCCTGCCGTGAGCCTGACCTTGACTCGGTGCTGCCGCTTGCTCATCTCCGCCTCCAGGCGCCGCTTCTGCTCTGTCTCCTCACGAAGCCGCCTCTGCAGCTGCCCCTGCTGCTGCCGCATGAGCTGCACATTCCGCTCCAGCTCTTGCAGTCGCTTCTCACTCTGGGCCGACAGTGACACCAGCCGCTCCGTGGCCTGCTTCTTTTCCTTCAGCACCTGGAACCCACACAGTCTTCACTGGGCCAGGCATGGGGCTACCACGAGCCTGGCATAGTGCCAGGCACTCCACAGGGCAGACAGGACCAAAGGACTCACAAACGGCTAGAGTGACAGATAGAGGGCAAACAGGCAGGTGGGTGACAGACCAATAATAATAGTAATAGAGGCCGGCATGCTGGCTCACGCCTGTCATCCCAGCACTTTGGGAGGCTGAGGCAGGCAGATCATTTGAGGTTAGGAGTTTGAGACCAACATGGCCAACATAGTGAAACCCTGTCTCTACTAAAAATATAAAAATTAGCTGGAGTGGTGGTGGGCACCTGTAATCCCAGCTACTCAGGAGGCTGAGGCAGGAGAATCACTTGAACCCAGAAGGGTTTCGGTGAGCCAAGATCGTGCCACTACACTCCCGCCTGGGCAACAAAGTGAGACTCTGTCTCAAATAATAACAGAATACTAATAATGGTAAATACGATGACATGCACCACACACCAGGTAGCATACTAAGGGCTCTGTATGTGTTAAATAATCCTAACGAGCCCACAAAAAGTGTAATTATCATTATCCCTATTGTACAGCTTACAAAACTGAGGCAGAGAGGGTAGGAAACCTGACCAAGGACGTGGAACTAGGAGTCAAACCTGAGCAGTCAGGCTCCAGAGCCCATGCTCTCACCCACTCCATGATATTGTCTCTTGGACATCTGAACAGAGAAAGTAAGCAATGAGTGAAGGGTAGACAGTTGGAAGGGTGGGAGGACAGACGGCTCGGTGGGCAAGATCATATGAAGGTGAAAAATAGGATAGGCCAGGTGTGGTGGCTCACACCTGTAATTCCAGCACTTTGGGAGGCTGAGGTGGGTGGATCACCAGAGGTCAGGAGTTCAAGAACAGCCTGGCCAACATGGTGAAACCCCATCTCTACTAAAATACAAAAATTAGCCGGGCGTGGTGGGGCATGCCTGTAATCCCAACTATTTGGGAGGCTGACACAGGAGAATCACTTGAACCCTGGCAGTGGAGGTTGCAGTGAGCCAAGACGGTGCCACTGCACTACAGCCTGGGTGACACAGCGAGACTCTGTCTCAAAAAGAAAAAAAAAAATGCCAAACCGATGCATGGGTTTGATGGACACATGGACACCAGGCAGAGAAGGGAGGATGGGATAGAGGGTAAGCAAATGGAGGGCTGGAAGGCGGTGGGAGAAAGAGGACTGCACGCTGACGGGTAGGTTTCTTTCCACACCCACTCCTCCCCGTCTCGCTGGTCTCCCAGGTGGTCTTCAGGCAGGACCTGCCTCCCTGGGGCCTCTGCTGTGTGCAAAGCCAGGCAGACCTCTGCCTCTATACAATACGTACCAGCCTCACCCTGTTGCTAGGGCTGGAGCACAAGATTCCACAGTGAACTTGAGCCTCAGAGGCCACAGGTCCTGGTCCCAAGGACAGCAGCCTAGGAGCCAGAGTCACCCCAGCATCCTACCAGAGGCCCTGACACTGACCTGCAC